GCTCAATTAAGTATCTCTCGACCCATCAGAATCTGAAACGTAGTTAAGAATGTTCATCATATCGAAATCAACATTGTCCGATGTACCCGATGATATGTTTATGACCGTATTAGGGTCAGTAGGGGAAACGTTTGCGAACTCTCGTTCCGCATTAATTTCAAAGGCTTCAGCATTAACTCCCACTCGGTCTCCTTCCATTCCATGATTCACCACTTCTTTAGGTTTCGCCTCATCGTCATTGGATGACAACACAATAACTTCTTCATCGCCATTAGGATTCTCAACGGGTTCCGTACCAAAATTACACATTAGGGCGTCATACTTAGGTTCTTCACAATGACGATAGGCAAAGGCAAAATTACTTGTCTGTGTAACGAAAAGAAGATAAATATTGAAAATCAAATAAATTACGTAACCATAAAAATATGGGTTGAAACAATACCTCTTTGTATGAAATTAATTTACCTTCAAGATATATTCCCACATATTTTTCGGTGCGGAAATGATGTTTGTTTTTGCGTCAAAAACTACCCCTCCTGTGCGACAATCCAATGAAACGTAGTAAACCTTTTGTGTAACAACTTCATCTTCTTGGTGAGGTGTTTGTAGGAGAAAAAAAATTTAAATTTGTTTTGAATAGCTTCTTGCAGCTGAAAAGGGCAAGAGTGGTTTTTCCCTCACGGTCGAAGTTGCCGCTGCATGATTCCAAACACAAAAGCTCGACAAAATAATCATCTATCCTCTCATTCCATTCCAACTCATAAAGAAAATCTTCTTGCCTAAAAAATAGTTTTTTCTTTGGTGCCATGCAGCTAGTTGATAATATGATATGTTTAATGGTTGTGTTCCATATGGCAGCTCTTTTTTCGTCATTTATAAGCCCAAAGAACCCTAATTAATTGTTTTAGGTGCTGGGGATATTATGTATACGCATTGATGCTCAAGAACCATTATTGACAAACAATTAATGGGGCAAATCAATACACAATATATGAATATCAAGTCAAAAAGATATGGTAAATAATAATGCACAATGTTGTAAGAAATATTAAAACAGTTAATTGATCACAAATTAAATTTTGTGGTGCATTTAATACTTATAATTGAACTTTATCAGTCATCACATTTGAAAACGTATATAAAACTAAGTAGTGCAACATTTATTAACATTTGTAGGTGCGCATGGTAATCTTTAATGCCATATTACAAACGCATTCAATGTATACGAAATTGGAACTCGCACAAATGAATAATGACTGGTAAATGTTCATTGAACTGTATTTCTTCCCATATTTAATTGTTGTAATAATTGCAGGCCTAACCCACTCAATTGATTGGAGTAAATGCAGTGTTGCTTAAAACAATAGTGAAATAGACCTTTGGCCTTATCCAATCAAATCCAATTTACTCCTGATTATAAATGCAAATTAGTCTTGTAATTTGCAGTTCATCACAAGCATACGAAAAATCAACAGACAATCAAGGAGTAGCGGCTAATACAGTTTACTTTTCTTCGTATGTAATATTGGAGTTGTGATATTGGTGTTGGTTTTTTTTTTTTAACTTTTCGTTTATTTGTTTTGACGTTGTCACGGGTAAAATGGTGAGACCAAGGACACGGAATCAGAAGATTTTGGCAAGGATGAACACACCCTCATGGCCTGTTATTTTCGATGAATGTTTAATGGAATTTGCAGCAAGTTGTGCACGAGCCGTTGAATCGCTGCGAGACAACGAAGTCTACGAAGATATCATCTTTGAAGTTTACATGACCATGAATTTCACCTTTGAAAGAAATTTCGAAGATGCTGATATCTAAACGAGATTGGAGTGGTTTCGAAACCGCTTCATATCATTTAAAACTTACATTGCGCAAGATGGTGTGGTGTTCAATCATTCTATAAAAAATGTTACTCTTGGTAGGAGTGCATGGTCTTGGAATCGACGGGGTGAGATAGTTAAGAAAAAATATGTTGTAGTTTTTCCCTTTTTTTATTAATTTCCGTTCTACGATGAATGCAAATTTGTGTTTGAAGACAAACAAGCACCGCCGGTCAACTTTCGAGGAATTACGGGATATGATCCCGACTATCCATTTGTGATTGATGATGAAGGAGAGGCAGAAGAAAGGCAAAACGAAGATCCTCAACTGTTAGCACCGGGGAATGCTACAGAAATTGTTCGTGTCGAAGTTGAGAACAATGTCAATAATAACAATGAACTTGTTCAAGTTTTTAATAATGAGCCTGCCGTCAGCTTCAATGATCACATTGAGTCTGGTGATGATTCCGATTCACAAGTGTCTTCGGTTTTAAAGTAGGGTCTTTATGGAAAAGTGATTGTATGTTCATTTCGTTAAATATGTTTTTACTTATTTGCAGCAGTTGTTCTTTACAGTTTGTAAAGGGACTAAGTTCCCAAATTTTCAAAATCTCCCGGCATGGTCTTTTGTTAACTCTTGCTTGTTCAAAGGGACTTAGTTCCCTAATTTTCAATCGGATTTAAGTGAATTTCAGCTAACATCAGTTGTACACAGTCTTCTAATTACAATTTATTGCGCATTCCATTGTTATGCAGTTCTGCATTACACATCAAACATATGCAAAGCGTAACTAAATCACAGAATGTAATATGTACGTAATATTAAGTAATAGCCGTTAAACCACTGTATCTCAAAACATTTGCACAATCTAATTAAATTACTGAAGTTTAAACATTGTTTAGGCTAATACAAATATAAACATCTGCAAAAATTACATGCTGAATCGAATTGGATACCACCAAATAACTAAAGCATTTCGAAAGGATCATTACTCTAGTCGTTTGCCTATTTAGTTGAAAATATATACAAATAAGACTTACTAAGAAAAAGATATACATAAAACAAAGCAACCAAATACAACTGCAACAACATAAGAAACAAACCAACCATACGATTTAGTCATGGCTTTTTTGTTTTTCAAATCATTCATAGGCGCCATTTCAGGCTCAAAATCTGAAATTTTCTTAATTAAGTCCGAAACTTCCAAATGAACTTGGGCTTGTAGAGCATTTATTCTTTTGATCAATCCCGATTTTATTTGTTTTGACATGTCGCACATTGGGGGATCACACCAATAGAAGGTTCCACAACCCTTGATCTAAACAAAATATTATCAAACACATATTATTCAATCTGCATTATGTTATTTACATTACAATTACAATTTTTTGGAAATACACGTTAAATAAGATGCAGCATATTGTTTAGATGTTAACTGTTCATAAGTTTCCAATATGCCTGATCAAGATTAGCTTTATACATAGGGAATGATGTTAAATTCAACACAAAGGCAAATACAAGTTAACAACATCCATATTCAATAAATTTTGACTAAAACACCATGTGAATCTCATTTAAGATCCACAACATTTTTTAACCAGAGAGTATTTGCGAAAAATACAGGGTATTATAAAATGAATTGTAATAGATTGATATTGATAAAAAAAAGATAAAGTTACCCTTTGTGGGCAAGATAAAAACCGTCTCCCTAGGTTCGTTGGGGTCCAAGAAGTTTGTAAACGAAGCTTGAAACCACACTCACAAATATTAGGTTGATTTGTGTGGAATCCACTGTGTTCATTGCTGCTCGATCCCCTTCTCGAACTACTACCACAAGTACTCATTCTACAAAAACTACCGAAGAATGGATCAAAATTATGATGAGTTTGCGTTTTATAGAGATTCAATTTAGGGCTACAGTAGAGAGGGGTAGGATATTGGGGATCTGCAACTCGGTGTTATGAAGAAGATGAAAATGGCTAATTGTATATTATAATTGAAAGGCATTTCAGACATTGGCCAAGTATTATTAATTTAGACCGAAATATCAACAAAACAAAACATCGTGTAATTGATCAAGGGATTAGCAGTTTCGAAACAATACCTCAAACCAAAAACCGTGTATGGTATTCCTAATACTCAATTTAGTCCCAATATTACATATCCCATACACACTTATGAATCCAAAGTACCCAACCAAAAGGGACCCAAAGTATAAAGACTACTATATTACATCAACTAATAGAAATGTGACATCTGTCCTACTGCTGTAAATTTGGCAGCCGAGAATTAGGCCTTGTTTGATTGCTCTTAATGAGCCTCTTAATCACAAATTTGCTGAATCGGTAAGCAATTGGAATATTAAGTGCGTTTGATATTAATGACTGAATGGTTCCAAAATGCTCTTAATTATTCAGTCCAAAAGTTGGTGCTGACCGAACAAGTGCTACATCTGAAGCAAATTTGCACATAATTATCCTTTAATAAACTCATATTTTCACATTAACCTCGTAATATCCAAACACACTACCACTTTTCTTCTTTAACAAAATCACCACTCCACAACTTCCAACTTTTTTACTCCATAAATAAGTTCTATCCTTTTTTCTTTCATTTATCTTAATAAAGTCTAATTATGTATTAAAATAAAAGGTGATTAGAATATATTTTATTCGTGTCAATTTTAGTGAATTTAGTATATTTTTATATTTTAAGTTAATAAGTATTACTATTACTACCTTTAGTTGCTTAGAGATTACTTCTTAAATTTGTTTGGCTTTTATATTTCGTATTTATATTATAATAATGTTAAATACTTGATATTTAATACACATAGAGATGTTTAACGTCTGCCGAAATTTCATAATTTGTTGATTAAGTTAATCATGCTAAAGGAATTATATTTATACATATATGTTACTCATTAACAAATACTATAGTATTTGACCAAGGATATAACAGTAAAATAATATTATTCAGACGACAGAACTTCGACTATCAAATGAGCTTAATGATTCAACATTCAGTACCCTGGCGTAATTCTTAGTCATTCAGATGCGTATTCAGCATTCAGCATTCAGCGCTTAATGTTATCAAACGAGGCCTTAACCTAATTCACGCGCAGAGTGAGCACGGTGACGCACTAGCCCATAACTTAAAGCCCAATATCCAATTCTTGCAAAACGCTGTCGTTTTCAATAACTGATACAATTCCACAGCCTTTTACATTTTTCTCCGATCGATTATCAATCCTAGGGTTCCGACGGTCCATTCTTCCCCCAAATCCACTTCTTCTTCTCCGGCCATAACACTGAACTCTGAAGACGATGAAGGACGGAAAAATATTGGGGGTGAAGGATGCAGTTCACAAGCTTCAACTCTCTCTCCTCGAAGGAATCAAACACGAGAGCCAGCTAATCGCTGCCGGTTCCTTAATATCTCAGAGCGATTACCAGGACGTAGTGACCGAGCGCACAATAGCCCACGTATGCGGTTACCCTCTCTGTGTCAACTCGTTACCTTCCGAGCCACCTCGGAAGGGCCACTATCGTATCTCACTCAAGGAGCACAAAGTATACGACCTTCACGAAACGCATATGTACTGCTCGACTGAATGTTTGATACGCAGCCGAGCATTCGGCGCGAGTTTGGAGGAGGAGAGATCTTCGTCTCTTGATCCTGCGAAAATTAATTCGGTTTTGAAGATGTTTGATGGGTTGAGTTTGGATTCCGTTATGGGTTTGGACAAGAGTGGTGATTTGGGTTTGTCCGGGTTGAAGATTCGGGAGAAAATGGTTACGGGGAGCGGGGAAATGTCGTTGGAGGAGTGGGTTGGTCCGTCGAATGCGATCGACGGCTATGTGCCCCGGAGAGATCAGAATTCGGAAAGGAAACAACCGAGTAGGAAGAAAACAGGTGTGGTTGAATATTTTTTGCTATCGTTTTTGTTTTGTTTATGTTGGGAAATACTCATGCGGTTTTTGATCTCGTATTGTGCTTTTCGCAGAATCCAATCACGCTAAGCCGAATTTAGCGGACACTTTGCCGTTTGACGTTAATTTCACGAGCACGATTATTATGCAAGACGAGTATAGCGTTTCAAAGACTGCTGTTCCGAGAGAAGCAAAAGGAAAAGTAAAAGGAAAAATGATTAGGAAAAGTGTTAAGGCAGAGAAGATTAGTGTATTAGATGATACGGCTGGTCCTAGCCAAAACGACACTACGTTACTTAAGTCATCTTTAAAGACTTTAGATTCGAAGAAAGAAACCCGTTCGGTTACTTGGGCTGACGAGAAAAGTGATGGTGATGGAAAAAGTATTTCAGAGTGCAGAGAAATCGGAGATAATAAAGGAGCTGTGGTGATGCCTCATTTGACAGATGAGGATGTGGGCGACGAGTCGTATAGATTTACGTCCGCTGAAGCGTGTGCGAGGGCATTAAGCCAAGCTTCTGAAGCTGTTGCATCGGGAAAAACCGATGCATCCGATGCTGGTAATCTCCTCTTCACGGTTTTGAATTTTACTAATATAATTTAGTGCGAATTCAAGAAAATACTTGAGGTTTGCTTTAATTATAATTTTAGTGCGAAAATACCCCTTTGAGATATTACAAGGTACGGCGGGAATACTAGTCGAGGTTTGTTTTTGTTTCATACTACTGCAATTTATAAAATAGAAACAAGTGTCGAGGGGGTATTTCCGTATTTGTAATTTAAAGTATTCGTTTGGTTTTTTCCTTTCCTTTTTTAGACAGGCGAGGGAGTCTTTACCATATAATTCCTTAATGTTTCTCGATATTCTTGTTCGTTTCGGTTCTCATTTTATTTTCCACACAGTATCTGAAGCAGGTGTGATAATATTGCCTCCACCTCATGAAGTAGATGAAGCTAAATATGAACAGATCGGTGAGGTTGTAGATGTAGACCCTATTGAATTAAAATGGCCTCCAAAACCGGGCTTTTCAAGTGAAGATCTCTTCGATTCTGAGGATTCTTGGTACGACAGTCCACCAGAAGGGTTTAACTTAACCGTAAGTTGGCCTTTTAACTAAAAGCGACTTCACTTCTTACATTTCTACCTTATAGTTTTAATGATCTCTTACTGGCAAAAATATTTGACATTTATTTCAGCTGTCGCCTTTCTCGACAATGTTTATGTCACTCTTTGCCTGGATATCGTCATCATCTTTAGCTTATATATATGGCAAGGAAGAAAGATTTCACGAGGATTATTTGTCGATCAATGGGAGGGAGTACCCACCCAAGATTATTATAGATGGTCGATCCGCCGAAGTCAAGCATACCCTAGCTGGCTGCCTAGCTCGGGCTTTGCCTGGACTTGTTTCCGAAATAAGGATTCCGACACCGGTATCAACTATCGAGCAAGGAATGGTATGTTTTTGGAGATTTTTGTTACCGAAAGTAAATAGGGTAAATTACAGTGGTATGGTTGGATTAGGAAAAGCCCCCTCCTGTTTGGATAATTACAACAACCCCTCAACTTTAAATTTTTTTACACGCCCACCCTTGCGGTTTCAAATTTTGTGGAATCTTCTTGATTATATGGAATATTATCACTTTTGTACCCGTTTTATCTCATTCGAGCTCCAAATAATGAAGCAAGATGGATCATAAGATGTGTTTTTTGGCTTGTATATATCAGACTGTGGTGCATCAGAAACTGTATTTTTACACAAAACGAGTACAAACTAGAGCACATTCCACAGAATTTAGATGATTATGTTGAATTTGATACCATAAGGGTGGAAGTGTAAGAAGATTCATAGTTGAGGGGTAGATGTAATAATCCAAACAAGAGGGAGTTTTCCGTAATTTAACCATACCTTAGGGGTGGTTGTAATTTACCTATGTAAATATGTATCTTGTGTCATAGTTCGTAAAATTTATCTGATAATTATCTTGCCGTAGTTCGATTTAACGGCATTTGTTTAATCTTGTGCAGGGACGCTTACTAGACACAATGTCTTTTACGGATGCACTTCCTGGATTCAGAATGAAACAGTGGCAAGTTATTGCCCTTTTGTTTCTCGATGCTCTTTCCGTTAGTAGAATTCCCGCCCTCTCACCATACATGACGGGTCGAAGAATTCTGCTTCCCAAGGTGAGGCACTGAGATTCCGACCTCACTATTTATGACTTTGCTAACTTGTCGCATTTGTTTTATAAAGTTGCTTTTTTGAATGATGAGAATTGTTTACTTGCTCGGCTTCGAGCTCTAATTTCCGGGGAAACGTGATTAGGAGTGGGAATTTGAGCATGTTACTTTTATGTAATGTGTGGATAATGATTGTCCAGGTTCATGTTTCTTTGAGCATTAACTCTCCGTGAATTTCTTTTCCGAATGAAAGATGGTAAAATTTATGTATTCTATGCTTCTTTGTGTAAAATATAAATTATTTATTTGGGCAACGAGGCTTTGCTTGAGCCTTATTATTAGTGCTCTAGGCCTTGAAATTAAGATTTTAGTATATGTTAGATTTTTTTAAAGAAGCTTCGCAGAGGTTTATTGGTTTGTACTTTCTAAGGTTTTGATTGCTGAATATTGAACATTGTAATAGAGACGGAGTTGGCTGGCAATAAGTGACATTAAAAGATTGGTTTTACTGATATTGTATATGCAAATAATTCAGTATTATATGTTCGTTCGTTCTATTCCTTTTCTTTTCCCTTTTTTTTTTTTTTTTTTTTTTTTTAAATTTTGAAATAATGGGAGGTTTCTGAATATGAATAAATTAGGTCCTTGAAGGTGCACAGATTAATGTCGAAGAATTTGAGATAATGAAGGATCTGATTATTCCACTTGGCCGAGTTCCTCAATTCTCTACTCAGAGTGGAGGCTAAACAACCGACAAACATACTCTCGATGCTCTATGATGTTCAACGGATTGAGTTTATTACGCCATTAGGACTTGCATTGTAAATCTGCGCTGAAATTGAATGAAATGCAGACATTTTGCACTCGTTAGCTTTTTCTTCGTTTTCTCTGTGCATTTCCTAGTCCTCTGAGGTTGGTAATATTAGTATAATTTGATGAAAAAAGGCAAATTTTGTTGGTAATAATTGTATTATGTCTATAATGTTATTTTGTAGTCACTGTTTGGTCATCACTTATAGCTGAAAATACTCTATTTTGCTTCTACTGTTAGCCAATGAATGCAAGCTACCCTTGTTTTCTTTGTCATTTTGATATTTGATAGTTTAGATTGGAAATATTTAACTTGTAGTTGAGTAGATATATGATCTGTGATCATTAAACAATATATGCACTATTTAAATATTTTAAACAATATATGCACTATTTAAATATTGATTTGTTAATTAATTTATTTTGGCCAAAAAGTAAGCTTTATTATATAATATGACGGACAATTACAAAAGAGTCTCGTTAAAACCTTGTTTTGCTATCTTATCTAAATAAAGTAAATGCTGTACTCTATTAGGTAATTCCATATATAATTGAATCAGAAATATATGCTCTGATACCATGTTGAATGACCATCTCAACCAAAAGCTTAAGTTGTTAGTGAAATGTATCATTTAGTATTAATATCTCCAACATGCCCCCTCAAGTGCAGGCGAATTACATTTGAAGCCTTGTACTTGAAATATTTGAATTGGGTGGCGGTGGGATTCGAACTCAGGACCTTTCATTTGGCCTGGCTCTGATACCAAAACCAAAAAAACCACACACAATCAGCCACCCTCCGTCTCCTTGCGCAAAATCACCCTCCTCAGTGCATCTAAACGATGTCAACTTGGTCGTCCTCATCCAACTCACCTGTCATATCTGTGATCGCCTTGACCTGTTCTCCTTGAGAAACTCCCATCGTCTTTACTTGAGCTAAGTGGATGTTCACGAGTGCGTCCACCAACGCTTCACTGACACCGCTCGGCGCCACAAACTTACTGACTGTTGGGGTGTCCAGATGCTTGATTCTCTGCGCAACTTTAGCCAGGATAGGAAACCTCTAGCGTGCGAGCACATTCGACGCAACGTGTGAGTTCAAGATCCGATAGAACTGCGGATGAGGGTACTGAGCAAGGACCTGGGTTGCCTTGTAGAGGTTGTTGATCTCTGCAGCCACGCGATGATCTTTGAGGACGTCTGACTTCGTTCTCAAGAGGACATCCTTGATGAACGTATAGCTCGACATGTCAGTCCATGCTAAGATCTCGCACAGGTACCCGCACATCCGACCAAGAAGGTCCTCTCCACGGGAGCACATGATTTGCCGAAGCAGAGCGCTACGGATGATCTGAGATCCCCCAATCTCATTACGAATCGCCGCCGCATGGGCTGCTGTGTACACCAGAAAATTCCCTTCCTTGCTGCGGTGAGTCAGGACAGCAGATAAAGCAGCAGCACGATTGGCCATGAAATGGCTGTAACTTCGGTCGTCGATGTTCTTGAAAAGCACAAGTATTGTCTGAGCGGCGATCATCATAGCAGTACGAGGGTCATCACAATCAACCCTATCAATCATCAGTTCATGCAGGCAGTCAGGAAAAACACTATCAACATAGTGGCCCCTACCTCCTTCGCTGCGGTGACAAATGTTGTCTTCAAAGCGGGAAAGATGCATGTGAGGATTGTCGCAACACCAGAGTGTAAGACTCGCGACGGGACATCGTCAGGCACTGTGATTGTTGATGCAGCAGTCATGACGCACCACATGCGCTCATTCGAGTTCGTGACGACAAGAAAACTTACGTCAACACCATCACCCAGGAGGGTGCCAAGGGACGTTGCCGTTGCAGCAGACATTTCAGGGAGGCGTGTCTGAACATTTCCTGCATTCCATTTCCGCTTCTTCACGGGGGCTGTCCCTGGATTGGCTGGCGCTGGAGCTACTGCCGGGACTGCACCTTGCGCAATCGACAACTGATTGTTATCTGGATTAACATACGCCATTTTTCTTCGAATTTAAACAGGTAGTCGGTATGATACTTAGGGCTCAGAAATAACAAAGGGTACCAGCAAAAGGCAAGCTATAAGAGGCACGACTAAGGTGAAAGAGGATTTGTTTAACTCACACGCTGCTCCCGGAACTTCTTTGATCGAGAGAAGTTTTTCACAGAAAATATTTTTCCTCTCGTTTTTTATTGTTCCATCGTGATACGTGATTTTCATAGAAAATATATCGGCTTCAAGGCTTTGTGGTGAAGACACCAAGATTCAAGGAGTATCACAAGTTTGCTTCTTCTATATAAAAAGAAGATCGGTTCTTCGGGAGAGGGGCTTAAACAGATCTCGGGAGGAGATCGATCCGCCGACTGAGGGATTCAGCGTTGAAGGGAGTTCAACCGTGCGGAGCAAGGGACGTGCTGCAAATTGAAGATTTATAATTCAGCGTAGTATACAAGAACGGCGTCAACAAAGAGGGAGTCTTTGTATTTTGATTAAGTCCTAATATTGTATTCGTAAAACTAAAAATTAGTAAATTTCATTTGCAGGTCCCCGTGGATGTAGGGTACAATTGTATCCGAACCACATTAAATTTGCGTCTCGTTTATTTCTATTTTTACGAACTGCTTAACGAACTGTTGCAACACTTCACGCAACAGTAACGAAAAACTGAATCTGACACAAATAATTTATATATGCACGAAATAAATTCTAACAGAATCTTCGCCCCTCCTTAATGAACGTGAGGAAAAACCATATTTTTGTTGTCGATGTATATGCACAATGCTCCATTGATCTTTTACCCGACCACGACAATTTGTGAGTAAGTATTTCACGTCCTATGACATGTTACTTCTACTAGTGACCATTCCTCAAAGGAGTTGAGAGTCGATTTCCATGTGAACTCTAAACTAGCCTATCGCACGACATATTTGAACCCCTTCCAACAGAGCCTGCACTTCCACATATAATGTATTGTGTTTCTCTTAATAACTTGTAAAATCAAAATGAAAGCACCTTGATGATCTCTCTCACAACTCCCCCTCCTGTCGGTATTGCACCATTTATAGAGCCATCCACATTTAACTTTACATAATCCTCATCATGTGGAAACCAACAAACACATTAACCCGGTTTAACCTAGGTGGAAACTAACAAACACATAAACCCGTTGTGATCTTGGCCTGCTTGATATTTAGGTTCAACCTTTGTAGAATAATTTGCCCCCATAAACTAGTTTTGCTTTGAGCTTTCATTATAATACACAAGATTGATATATACTTGTATATATATCGTTGTGATTATACTATTAGATACCATGGGTTGATCTTAAGAATTGCATAACACCTACATTTTCAAATACCAACATTCCATAAACTAATATGCCCAGAGCAACCAATCCTAATTGTAAATTCGGGCTGAAAGACTCCGTCCAATATGAATATAGATGCCTCACAGTTATATATTGAGCCCGCTTCTGAAAAATACCACCATAATAGCTCCAAACTTGTTAAACTATATATAATTGGGTAAACAGTGTTTCATAAACTCTTTCGAAGAATAAAAACAACAGTGCCACTTCGAAAGTGAAAAAAAATATTTTCTCCGAAGGTTCCTAATTGATGGTCTTTCACCATTGTCTCGTTTGGTTTATTATTCAATTTTCTAAAGTCCTGCTTGAAATGTCCCAACAATCCACAATGGGAGCAACATGAGTTATGTCCTTCATACTCTATTTTTTGCCAAAAATTTATTTCTTTAGATTCTCCAATCCTAGACCTGATCACGTTTTCGGTTCTGAACCGGAAGCGGCCCGTGTCAATGGTCTGGTTAATTGGAACCGGAACCGGGTCAACGCAAACCGGAACTTGAACCGGATAGCACGATTCCATTCAGGTTCATAAAAATGTCAAACATGAAGCGGCGGTTCCAAACCGGTGGTTCAACATGAAAAAAAAGTAAATATAACTTTTTCTTTCTTTCTCTTTTTTTTCTAGTGTTTTTACAAATATAAATTTGTTTTCAAAGTTTTTACAAGTATAAATAATATTTTTTTTACAAGTTATTATATATTTATTTTAAGATTTTACTTTCTACAACTATAAATAAATAATATTTATTAGTATAAATAGTTTTTAAGAGGTTTTAAAAGTACAGTATATTTTTTGAAATCATTTATGAAAAATAAGAACAATTAAAATAAATAAATTAATAATAGCGAGTAACCGTCAAACCAGACTGGCGGTTTTGAACCAACCTTGAACCTTCATATTCATGGCCCGGTTCACGTTCACTTGAAACTTGAACCCTAACCGCCGGTCCCGAATGGGAACCAGCTCGGAACCAGTACTGGTTCAATTAAAACTTTACGTGGATCAAGCAATTCAACCACTGGCTCCTGAAGTAAATTCCATTTAGCAATAATATGAGAATATGTCTCATGCAGACTCGGTCACCCATTAGAAAAAAATATAATTAAACCATTCTCAAACTATTTTGATGAGTGTGCCACCTTAATAGTCGAAAACTAACAGAAAGATGAAGGAGGTAGGACAATTGTTTCATACTTAAAAGCTAGTTGGAGAGACCAAGTTGCGGGGAATTATCTTCTGAATTTTGTGTTGATAACACAATTATAATTGGTCAATACAGTAGATGAGTAGAACCTCGATAAATTAATACCCGATAAATTAATAACCTCGCTTAAATAATAAAATTTTTCGGTCCCGACTCGGGGACAACGTGCTAAATTAATAATTCGCTAAATTTATAAGATAATACACATTCGAAAATTTTAAGAAGCCCCATATAATATATAAATTAATAATGCATAAAAATAATTCTTAAATTACATGGTGTAGTACATATTTTATAGATCAATGAAAGCCTCATACAATATAATTTAATTGTCGTTTGTTTCTTGTTGAAGTTCACATTACCATCAATCTCGTCCCTCACTTTTCTTAACATGGTTAGAACTTTCGATATAGTTTTCTCATAACTCAACATAAAATCGTTTTATACCATTACTGCTTTAAGAGCTTCCGTTTATGAAACGAGCTCTATAGTGCATTGAACTAATGGAACAATGAATAATATACACGTAAAAAAATCAAAAAAAAATGTATTTATTGAAAATAATAATAAAAGTAATTTCATAAATTAATAAGTTATTGATTAATGTATAAATTAATAATTATTAATTTATCGATAAGTTAATATTTCGCTAAATTAATGAAATTTTGATGGTCCCAACTGTATTAATTTATAGAAGTTTAACTGTACAATTTAACAGTGACTTGTTAG